ATACTTTTTTCCCCTACTTTCAAATATTGTTGTTAAAAAATCGTAACTTTACTTGTTTTTGATATAAAGATGATGGGACCTTTTTACCCGCGGTCCTTTAAGCCCCGCTCTACCCTATATTTCTATGAGGATATAAGTATGTTCGTATGAAATACGTGCTAGTATATTACATTAGAAGTAGTACTCGCTCAGAATATTTTTAAGTAGCCTAAGTAATCCGAGCCATTTTGGAGTTCCAAATAATTCCATAGAAAACGAGCCAGATTCTGTGGTGAAATTCGACTCTATTCCGGGATATTTTTAGGTGTTAGTTTTTGAGGGTGGATTATATAATACGCGCGTAAAATGAGCAGCAAACGAATTCCATTGCATCATTATTCCTCGTGACGAATCATTTGGGAATACTCGTTCGCTGTTTCATTTTTTTCCCCAAATCATGTTTTATTTATCATAGTTTGCAGGGTTCCGTACCCCGAAGGACCTGGGTACTTGAAATTCCCACACGATGCTCCATTATCGCATTTAAATTTTTCAGACGCGTTGTTTGAAGGGATGCTTTTGTACACAAAGGGGCATTTGAATATTTTAAATGATTAGCTTTGAAATAATTATAACGTAACGCGACAAACAAATATCGAATTGACTTTTAATACACTTTATAAAATCATACACAGCTATAATAAAAAAAAAATTGTTGCAGCCGAAGATTAGCCCTCAATAGCATTTTACCGTTATAAATTTCTAATTCGTATTCATATTTTTTAAATTAATTACTGTTTAAATAATTTAAATTATTATTGTATTTTTAGTTTCAGAATCAAACTCTGTAGTGCCAAATACTATACATAGTGTGAAATAATTTGACTCTATGAACTTATAAATAGTCGATAACTGAATTAATATTATGGATTGCTAATCAATAAATAAATATGTTGATTTTGTTAATTACAAAAAATTAATGTGATTATATATTAGTTGCTCTGAAATAATTTTCTACTGTGTGGTTCGTTCATTTTAATAGAAACAAAATGTGCAGATTTTAGCAAAATATTGTATATAAGATATTGATTATATATTTTTTTATCTTGACGATTCCAGAACACGAAAATGTAATTTTCTATCATTTACTAAGATCTAACCGGGTACGGAACTCCTATCCGGCATAATTCATCCATAAATCACTAGAGTCGACTTTCGGAGGCTAAAATTAAACTAAGTGTAAAAAAGTTGGTTCGGGAATAAAATGAAATAATTATTCAAGTCTGTCTCGGTATTGTAATATCCATTTTATATCTGCCGCCCCAAAGCCTGGCCACATTCTGGGGATATTTCTATTAAAACTGATTTCGAATTCCTGGCACGGCGCTTTTTTACTGTCAGATAACAGATAACGTGCCTATCTTTGCAGTTACCCCATGCGCTCCCCAGCGGCTCCGGCTAGGGTTAGGGTTATTTTCAGCGGGATTGCGGCCTCTAAATTCGTAATCGCGGAATCCATTTAGAAAATCATTTCGCAGTTCTTTAAATTGTTTACCGAGGCCGGGTTAGAAAATAGCTAGTTTATTCGAACTGATAAATATTCTATACTAGTTTTAGTCTCTTTCTGAAGCTGGTCCCACTTCTGGTGTAACAGTAATCAAAATTACTGACAATTCTCAGGTTCAGTTGTCATTTTACATAATAATTAATAAATCTCTGCGGCATGCTGTTTAATTTGTATTCGTGTGTATAGAAATCCCGAAACACTCAACTTTCACAATTTTTGAATTTGTATTCGACTGAACCGAAACACATTAAATCCTATAATCTGTAAAGGACCCCTTATATATGCGTTCGATGTGGCAAATTTTATGTGCACCACTTATATACGAACATCAATATTTCCTGAATTTTCAACTTGAATAAAATTTATATCCATTTCACACGTAATTTAATGGAGCATAAACCGAGAATCCCCCTGCTATATTTTATTGAAGTACAATTTGCCATTTGTAAAATATGAAATAGCATTTGTTTACCACTTAGTTCAAAAAAATCCATTATTTGCTATTTTATTTTAACTCTTGATAAAATCTGTCAGCACCAACAATATTCTTTTATCGCAAGATTTAGATGGATTATTATATTGTCACATTTTTCTTTGCACACATTAAATGTCATCAAGACGTAGTAAGATAGAGATTGTTTGATGAATTAGTTACTTACCACACCTGAATTGCCCAATAACATAAAATACTTTTATAATAGTATATCACTGAAAAAAAATCTGGCTGTATAAAGCTCAGTTCAGATATTATTTTAATTTGGTTGGATTTGTAAAAATCTCAATTATTTTAACTTCATAGTTCAGAATAGAATTTGTTTTTGTCAATTACATAATAAAATATGAATTAAAAAGCTAATTAATGAGCGTAAGAGCCAATTTTGAAATATATTGATAATTCAGAAATAAATCTACATTCTGAAAATCTAGAAATTTCGACAAATAATTTCCTTTGAGACAAAATTTAATAGAATTATAGTCGAGTGCCGAATCATTATCAACCACTTCATGGTAAAGTTTTCTAGAATTTTGCAAAGTTACAAACAGCAATAGGAAAACTTTTGCAATTTTCCGATGTTCTGCATACGACGTTTGCTATCACCGCAAATAAAAAAGCCGATCGAACAGATGATTATGAGAAAGGATATGGATAGATCTGATTATTATCCTGTTGCTTTAATTGACAATGGTTGTTTTCAAAAGCGTTTGCATGATCAAATAAATATTCGATGTTTAGGCGAGATATATGCAAAAAGCGAATCGTCGTAAGTATCTCGTCGTCGTTGTCGTCGTCGGCGAGATGTAACAAAAGTCCATATCCATATGCAGGAGAACATCGGAATGGCATTCCTATGCTAATGCGATCTGCCATCAGAATGTGCCTAACTCGTTTTTTTTCTATAACAAAAAGAGATTCGAATTCATGACATATGAAACCATGAAGGCAGGGTGGATTATTTCAATTGGGGTAGAACTTTTTAGATTTACAACAGCCCCCTGTGCTGTGACTTGATGTATGATCCTGCGAAGTCAGAATTTTTGGATCTCGGAATCGACCCTCGAGGGAGGACGTTGGCACTGCCACGGACGGAAATCAAGTTAGGGAAGCTTGTGTGTGTATAATTGAAAAAAATGGTAATTTGTTTTATACAATAACATAACATTTATTCATTTAAATTTGTGTTTAAAATTAATCGACAACTACAACATAATAATAATCAATAGACACAATCCTCGGGTATCGGGACCGCCATAATAATAATATTTATAAATTAACTACAAAAGCCGATGGCACAAATGCCTCGACTCGGTTAAAAGTCTTCAGAGTTTTATGACAAATAACATACATCTTATTTCCTTACGTATAATATACATACATATGCATATGTATGCATAGAATATTCAGCGGAGCACATAGTATTAATTATTTGGGTCGTTTACATTACTAAAATTATTAATTCTAATATCGTATACTTGTAGTGTTTGTTGACTTGTTGAATATAATTAAGTTCCAACGAAACAAATCGTTCGCAATTAGCGATAATTAGTATTTTAAGTACATTCTTATTGTTCTCAATGAATCAATTCATCTCATGTTGTATAACAGCAGTTTGAATAAAAAATAAATTAATTCAAAATCATTATCGCGGACATAGCAGCAGCTGCGCTATCCGTTCGAGATTTCAATCGGCCGATTATCCACCACGCCGCGAGTAATTAGAACATATTAAAATATATTAGTTAATTAACAAGACTCAGTGCACGGTCCGTCCGTCCATTTGCAATATTTGCAATTTAGCAATAGCAATAGCAATAGCAATTTCGTTATTTCGTAACCGCGAGTACAGAATCACAATTAAGTATTTTTACATACTCACGCGTGCTCGGTGATCGGCCCATTGCAAAAACGAAGCTGTCACACGTTCAATAGTTCAATAGTTCCATAACTTTCTTTAATATATCATAAGTTTATTTTATACAATTCAAAGTAACCAGAGCACCCGACCGCCTTCAAGCGACAATTTGATTTTGCTCACAGAAGGCAGCCTCGACAAAAAAAATATGAGGAGTGCGTTGACGTCTAACTCGAGCTTTCAATACACTAACAATATATGTACATTAGTAACACCAGTCAAAATACGAGTGCAGAATCAAGAAAAATATATATATATATATTCAAATCGTCAAGGAACTTACTGTATTGTGTGGAAATAATTTAATCCTTCGCCTTTTACATTGAAATTATCTAATAGTAATTATGATATGCTATGAAAAGTATCCAAAATAATCGGCGCTTCCATTTTCTAACGCGATTTAGCTATGAGTTGACTAGGAGCAAGATTACTTATGCCTTTCGAATGCAAAATGAAAGCTCCGACCAAGAACCCCAAAAATGATTTCTGGCGATAAATTTATCTCCGATGGAATAGATTAATATGGATTCTTTAGGAGCAATCGCACTGAGGTTTTAAACCAACGATGGAAAATCTGGCGCGAAGCTCGGTGCGATTACTCCTAAGGCGCTAAGATAAATATATCTATCAGGGATGCAATTTTAAGTTTCTAAAGAACGTGAAGTAAAAAATTAAATCCACAAAGACAAAGCAGATGAGTAGCGTAGCGGTAGAGTGGTAGTTTTGACTGGTTTACATATAATAGGGAGAAAATAATAACGTCAACAAAGCGGCCGAGTACTCTTAATACAGTTGTATATTTGATTTTAATTCTAAATTGAATATTTTTATCTTTATTTTAATCGTCGTTTATCGAAACAGAGTAGTGAGCACCCCGCCAGCGTTCGCTGTCGCGGATGGGCCGATCATAGAGAAAGAAGGTAAAGAGATCAGGGGATACGGCACATGTCTATGGACTAGGAGCACGGCAAGACATGTGCGTTGGCATAGAGCAGCGAATGTTGTTGATGTCGCGGGGCGGACGCGCTGTACGGGGTACTCACTACATCAGGTGTGCTCGCTCCGTCCGTGTGCGACGCCGAGTCCGCGTTGCTCCTGCCGCCTGTGTCGCCGTTGGTCGAGCCGCCCGTTCCCAGCAATTCGGGCTTGCCCGTCCCGGTGCCGCCGCCCGCCGTACTGTCCCGCTCGTCTATCACCAGGTCGATTGGCATCTTGCCCTTCAGACAGCTGATGTAGCGGTGGCAGAAATTGTCGCACAGCTCGTGAACCTGAAAACAAAAACGTAACCAATACAATCAAATCGTACACTTGTAGGTGTACTTACGACAAAATTCGATCTTTGATATTACACCAACGATAAACCTAACAAATCATATGCATAGTTGCAATCCAGACATCAGTAAACGTATAACTTGTTATATTTCAAAATCTATTAGTATATAGCGGGAGAGACTTGGTACTATTGTACCATGGTACTAGAGTGATAGTCATCATAACAGCTAAACTATACTAATTTTGATATAGGGCTCAAAAGGAAAAAAATTAAGTATGTTTGATTGAACAAGTTTCCATTACTGCATTGAGTGATCTGTAGACCGCATTGCTTTTAAAAATTGAAAAGTAAGTTTCTCCGGTCGATTCTTTTTAATAACTGTCACTTGTATAGAGATCGATCACTTTGATGTAAGTTGAACATTAGTAGTTAATTACCGGCAATTAGTTTTTGGGTAGATAATTTAAGTCTATCATAACGATGATTTGTCTCCAAATGTGTGCGTTGGGTACGGTTGTGAACAACTTTCTCGCCTTTTTCTTGTTCAATTTGATTTTATTCTTAATATATCGCATATAAAGAGAGTATTTCAGTATTTTCACGTAGACAAATTGGTAAATGGTAAATACCATTTAATATTTCTCCAAACTAACTGGTAAATTAACAAAATTATTGCTGATATACTTTTTAAAAACAAATTGGCTAAGTTTACTTCCTTGTAACAATATGACATTGGATCTATCTGCGCTTCAGAAAATCTGCTATATAACAGTTACTTCCATTTCCATTTCTACTTGAACGCAAATAGAACTTTTCTAATTAAAAATAACTGCAATGTCAATTGCGCAATAAAATACCATCCACACTAAATTAGTTATATTATTTTGAATATAAAAACCAGTAATTATTAGATCAAAATTAATGCTAGAGAATATTTTAGTGGAAGCAAAACGCCTCAAAATTTACTAATTTTGGAAAATATTTAAGTCCGTTTAAAATTTAAGGGTATAGTACTCCAAGTATACTCAATATATTTTATTAATTCCAAAAATGTGATACTTTATCAAATATACCATAACCAAATAAAATCCATTATATATATTTACACACATCGTTTACCGATTCTCCACGTGCATTTGGCTCTTCGTTTATAATTTATTATAAAAGTAAGCTCGTCTAAGTGTCCTCAAGACCGATGTGGATTGTTAAACAAGTTTTAAACAAAGATAAGAGAATAAGAGATGCACCTACGTGAAATAAAAGTAAAAGTAATGCAGACAGAAACGAGTTATCGACATAATATCATCTCGGAGAGAAAGAGCGACGACCTTTGGAGAAAACAATCACAAAAGCTTTAATTTTAAATTTTTCAAATGACATAAGATTTTGAAATTCTGAATAAAACCACCAAGAACCATGTTTATGTTTTCATTCAATCAAATTCAATTTAAAAAAAACTATAAAATGTCCTTCCTACTATAAAATGATGATTAGATAGCAATACAGGTGATGAAATAAATATGTGAATAAATATAAATAAATTCATGACATCATTTTTATCAAAATTATTTTCTGAAACTACCCTAAGTAATTTCGTATATTAAAATCATTTTACAAGATTTAAGTTATAAAAATTTTGTCTTTGGTTTTGTATTTAATTAAAAATATATACGCAGAAAAAATAAATACCTAACTTTATAAGTAAACAAATATATAAAATTATACAAATAATAAAAAATAGAATCTGCATTTAAAAAAGATTATACCCGACACATTTTATAATTTTACTACTATAATGGAAATTTTAAAAAATTAAATTAATTTTATGTCATTGTTAAAATTTAATGTTTAATTTAAAATCATAACAAAATGCTTCTCCATCTAGATAAAAACCCGCGGACGAAATAAAACATTAATTGAAGATAAACTGAACGCCCAAACATCATTATTTCGATTTAATTACTATAATTTTGTTTTATTACGAAATCACTTAAATTGTGAACAATAAAATAACTCCGGCGTCAAACTTATCAAGGAAATCAGATATAAATGATTCATAATAATGTTTTTGATAAAATTAATCTTAAACAAGATTTTAAGCTTACCTTTTCTAATTCTAAGAGATGAAACCGCAGGACTTGTATTGCTTGTACCATCTGGAAATAGAATTTAAAACGTGTTATTATATAAAATATATTGATCATAAAATACTAATTAATACTATTAATATGTGATAAATATTCGTCCCAATTTACATTTTTATTATCCATAAATAAAAATAAACACTTCATGCAATCGTGAGAGTGTTGACATAAGGACATCTTATCAAAACTATGAAATATATTTTTTATTCTAGGAACAAATATATATCTATTTATTTTAGAATGTTTTACACAGTATAGACAAATAATTTTGTGTGTTTGCCACTCGATAAGACATTTTATGTCCCTGTTCCTTATTTTACTACCAAGATTATTCATGCATCTGCCACTTCCGTGATAACAAAACTACGGAAATATTTGTTCGAGGCGTTGGATTTTTAGATTTGCAAATAAACGAGAGAGAAATGGTAATAATTGCTTAATTAGTGTCTTCTTTGTGAATTTTTGTTAGAAAAAAAAGTCGTTTTTTTTTAAAAAATATACACGTATTTGATAATAATCAGCAAAACATCCATTTTAAGACATAATGCACTTTTAAAGAAAACAACTCAGACATTTTTTCTCATGGTTAATCTGAACATTTTTTAATCAAAATTAATCCAAATCATTAGTTCCAGATACTTTTAAAAATTTGTTTAAACAATTTGTGAGTAAACAGTCTAACATTAAGATATTTTTATTAAAATTTACCCAAGACATTATGTTCTTATGATTACACCATAATATTCATTTACTAAAATTATCCCTTAGAATTTTTTCGAAAAGTTCTCTAAGAGTAAGAATGGCGTTATATATTATAAGGCATAAAATGTAGCTCAATCAGTAGCATACCCGACGCACGCGCTAGGGATACTCGGTTCGAGTCCTTGTGCTGAAAATTGTCTTTTGAATTAGAATAAAATTAGGAGTAAGAAGAAAAAGCTAAATTTGCAATGAAGAAGATAAAATATAAACAAAAAAATGAATGAAGTATTTAGTTGTAAATAAGCAAGTACAGAATATGTATAAAATATAATAAAAAATTACATGTTATAGGTGGTTAAATGCTCCAAGTGACGCCAATAAAAAATAAAAAAAAGGTTATAGCATTGTTTAGTACAAATAGTCCACATCGAAACTAATTTACAATTTTTTCAAACTAGCCTGGCACCTTTTTTGAAATTAGTTCAAGAAATTGTTTACACTTTTTTTTTACTGAAATAAGATTAGGATTTCTAAAATCAACGAGAAATGATTTTGCTCAAATTAACTGAAGATAGACTAGAATGGGTATACCATATAAGCATTTTTTAGCAATACCATAAAAGCACTTAAATAAGCTATATTTAATTTTACATTACAATCTTTTTTTTTCAAGTATAAAATATTTAGTTTTTCAGGTGTTTCAACGTCAAATTCTACGTAATCATAAGAGGACATACATTTTTTAATACAAATAAATACAACGTGCAATAATAGTACGAATATGTAATATTTATATAATTTGATCGTAACACTGCAACTGCCAGTAATAATTTTTTAAATAACTGAATTTAATTTTTAAATTTTAATAAAAACCGAGTAGCCAATGCATATAATAAGGCAAATTCGAAATCTCTCTTCAACAATAATATTATATATGTGTATATATGGGTGAATATTTAGAAAAACGTTAAAGTTTACTTTCCCTGGTTTTTATTTCTATTTAATGTATACATACAATGCATTCTTAACATTTACCTCTGCATGGGATTCGAAATTGATGCGCTCTGTAGAATTTAGATAATAGGAAAAATGATTTAGTATCTAGGCCCGGAAATATGTCGATTTAAAAAAAGAATTATAATAAATAAAATATTTTCTACGACCAAACCGGTCGTAGAATTCTGACAATCTTAAAATAAAATAAAAAGAGGCGTCTCTATCGAATATGGGAAAAATCGAAATGGAACCGAGTTATAGATTATATTAATTATAATAATGGTTATGATAATTGTTTCAGAACGAATAAGTAATTATAATTTTTGGTCGTAAAAGACAAATTTATGATAATCATAAAATATTATATTTATTAATAAAGTTTTAATTAATTCCTAATTTATACATTTTACAACGTTAATTCTCAATACATATTTTGTAAAAATGAAATAGTAAAGTTGATAAAAGTGTTTAACATTAATTATTAGTATTTAATTTTATCGACAATTTCAAATTTATACTAGCCCAAAAAATATTAATTAAAGGATATAAAATTACTTAAAATATATAACTAAATATTATAAATTTCATGCAAAAACGCGGTTTAAAAAACGAACATTTTGTACTTTTCGATTTTTTAATTGCGCCATTATTAGTCTATATTATGGTTCACCTACATTTTTCGATCAAGAAACTGTATTAATCTGAAAAACTATCAATTCATTTATTATTTTAAATTAATTTATTTTTGGAAATATCTAGACCGAGAGAATAATTATAAATGCAATAAATTATTTAGTAAAATATTTGTGTAATGTTACGATAAATATTGCTAAAAAATATAAAAAAAACGTTGTCTATTAATTTAACATAGTAGTCGTGTAAGCAATTTATAAAAAATTTGTTGCAACAATGCGATTTAAATCGCTAACAAAAAAATCTACGAAATATTAAAGAGTACAAAGTATAAATTCGGTTAGTATATTAAAGGTTTTAAGCATTTTGTGGAAACTTATTGCAAGTTCAATTTGATTTCACATACTAACTTACATCTTATTATTTTGTGTAGCTATTCCTTGTGTATAATTTAACTCCTAAACTGTGATTGACGGATATACTCGTTTTAGAGAAGTATCAGAATTTTGTGTATTGACGATTATATTAGTCACACGTATCAAACAGTAACCATTTGCTATTAATATTGAAATAGAAAAAAAATCTAATATATCAAGTTGTTCAGAAATGTAGTTATAAGAAGCATTTTGAATTGTGTTAATGTTCTAAAATAAACCCATATTTTTTACCCGATATCATAGCAGTTCATAAACTTTGATTGACGATTATACTCGTCAAGAGCTAGATATGGTCTACACAAAACTATGAGTGACACAGTTAACTGGTTAAGTAAGTACAAAATATATTAATTCGATTAGTTCAAATGTTTACGAAAACTTACGATGTTTATGGTCAGCAAATTTCAAAAATTCGTTGTCCATTAATTTAGCAGGGAAGTTTGTGTGGTCAAAAGTTCGGCTCAGACGAAATATATTGCGTGCAACTTTTTACCGTGCAAACCACTAAATACAAAAGTCGAAAGGTACACATTAACATTGCGAATTTGCAGTGAACACTTCCAGGAAAGATATCTTATTAAGCGCGCGGAATTTCTTTTTGCTTTGACGTTCGAATATTTTAAGTTAATATTCAACGTGGCCAGCGCTGAATAAATTAATTAACAACACGATAATAACATTAGGTCTTTAGACTCATTAGAAACGTGTCCTTCACGCTTTTAGACAGGTGCAAGGTCACGAAGAGCCCGAAGACGAACTGAAGGCGCTACGGTACACCACGACACCACGACACCACGATCTGATCCTACGACACTTGTCCTCTACAAATTATGCTATAAAATGCATTTTATGCTGCTATAAAATTTAGATGTTTGAATTCACTCTTGTTTTGTTTACTTTGTCTAAAAATCTCAAAGCTGCATCATGACAGTACGGAAATGCGATAAAAGTTCTGATGTTTCTGACGAGTATATTTAAATTTCATACGAGGGTAATAAAATTATTTATTTTCGGTTTCCAGTATTACACAAAAAAATATTTAAGTAGATTTAGCATTCAAAAATCTATGTTATAGCTAAAGTAGCGCTCACTCGTATACGACAGGATATGAATTAGAAGGTCCCGGATTCGATACCCAATTCGACCAGCCTGATATCAAGCAGTATGACATCGGTTTTCACATAAAAATATAAAGAGAAATATATTTCCAAGTAAAAATAGCCCTTATACGGCATTGCTGAATCAATAAAAATTAATCACTATTACAGAAATTGTAATAATAAAATTAGTCACAGAAATCGCACGTAGTTTGTAAGTAATTAATCACAACAGCTCATAAAACTCGTAAGTTCCGAACGCTGTTCAGAATAAAATTAAAATAAAAAATAGTAATAAAAAATTAGAGTAAGCTCTTTTGGTTATGCAAGTCATATTCATCAAGAACATTATATTATAACAGTTTCATGAATTTTTCTGTTGTGAACTTTTACTAAAATAGAGACTTAAGTTCAACTGAATGAATGAATTTTATAAATATTATCTGATACAACAGACAATTGCATGTAATTTTACAATAGTTGAACTTTTTGAAAAAAATGTCTTTTATAATATTGCAAAATTTAATCAATAATTATTTTGTCACTAAATATGTATACGCGGCATAAATCATCATGTGATAGTTCATTTATATTATTATTTGTGTATTACTGTTATGATTTTATTTTATTTTAACTTTAATTTTTAAGTTTCATTTTATATTCAATTTATTGTATATTTTGTATTATTTCTTTTTTACGCAAAAAAAACTAAATCTGTATCTAATTATAAGTAGGTTGACATCGTTTGTACAACAATATTTTATTATTTTATAAATATACTTTTGAACATTATTTCTTCTTTTTTTCAAAAATCATTACTATTTTTATAAATATAAATCCATAAAATCAAGATTACTTCAACTTTATAATAAAGGTCCAAATGACGAATATATTGTTAAATTAATTTTTTAATTCATTATTTAGATTATTACACTCATATATATGATATTAATAATAAATAGGTGCTCTGCCCTAGGGCAGGTCCGTGATCTGCGTTAAACTCTAACTGGATTCAAGGAAGAATAGTATGAGACATTTCCCATTGCCATTTCACACCGCAAATTGGCTATTTTCATTTGAAAACATATTTTTGATCTATATTCAGATTTTGATCAAAGCGGGGATTCGAACTCAGTATGAGCTTAAT